ATAAGTTTTAATTGATTTTTTAATTTTTTTGTATCTGTTTTTGTAGTTCATTAAATCTTGATTATGTCATTTTTTATTATCTATAGTTTGTTCTAAGGATGATGTGCTTGCTACTTTTATTTCCTAAGAATGTATTATTCCATTCAATATAAGTCGTTACAATATGTATCATATTATCTACCTTATGCAATTCGCCGCAGATAGAGATTATTGCTTTAGATTCAATTGCTCTTGTGACACCAGTATATCTAGGATTAGCAGCATCATATGAACATGCGACTTCTAATGTTAGATAATTAAAAGTCATTGGATTATATGCCCTTCGTTCTAAGGTAAAGTAAGAATTTGCATTTTTTATTAATTTCTGAAGATTTGTATGGGGCTGAGTAGATTCCGAAAGCTGGAGATATTAGATCTTTTATTGATGGTTCATATTCAATGGCTTTTAGATCCAAAGATGTCGCTTGACCTTTTTCATATTTTTTTTTTAGATTAATTGAATTAGAAAAAAATAAAAGTTAGAAAAAAGAAAATTTTTTTTAATTTAATTAGTATAATTATTTGAAAATATAATAAATATATATTTACGTTAAGTTCAGAATTTTCTAGGATGAATTTACCAATAATTAGCATAATTTTATTTCGCTCAATTTGATTAATATGATTATTAGCAAAGTTAAATGCTTTGTAGTTGTCGCTTACGAATTCATCTTCGTCGCTTCTGTATGTAGCAATTCCTGTTAGCGTTACATTACCAGAAGTTGTTTTAATAAGGGAAATGGCGGCAAATATAGATGTCATTATTCTTTTTTTTTTTGTGTTTTTTTCTTTTCATCCTTTTTTTTATAGCTTATAAATGACAGAGTATACATTTTTTGTTTTATTTTATATTTTTAGTTTGAGAAAATTTTTAGTTCGAGAAGAAAAAAATAAAATTACAAAAGTTTTAGATCATAAAATAAATTTAGTTAAAATTTTTGTTGATTCGGGATCTTATCTGATTTTTGCATAGATAGCGCATTATCTGTATTGTCCTATTTGTTTTTTATTTTAGTCTTGTTTTTTAGTCTTATTATCGAACGAAAAACTCTTTTTTTTATCTTTCGTGTATATAAAAAAAAAAATAAAAAAAAAAATTTAATTTTAATTTTTTCTAGATCATTATCTATTTTATTTTTTTTAATAAATTATTTATAAATTTTAAATAAGAGTAATAATAAGGTAAGAATAAATTAAATTTAAATA